ATCCTGCTGACAGACGGACAGACAGACAGACAGACAGACAAAGTCTTCGCATAAAGTAGCTGAAGCTACTTAATAATTATGCATGCCTCGTGCCATAAATTAATTACATTACTCGTCAGAGAAGGTCAGCTATGCAAATTGAAGTTTAACTTCTTCGAATATGTATATATTCCGCTCACAAATATGTAAATACGGTGGAGAAAATAATCCAGAATAGAAAACTGGAGGTTAAGCAAGCAGATTCATGGCCGCTATGAAAATCACACATTTGTCCCTATTAATCAACGCTCTTGCTAATTTAGTTTCTTATACATAAGAGTATTTAATTATTAGCTCGCCCTGCGTAGCATGAGAGCTATTGAATTCCTCTTGTCCGTCTATCTGTCTGTCTGTTCACGAGTTTTTTGCATCAATTGATGCTAATTATATAGGTCCCGTTCAATTGTTTTGACATTATTGGCACCGTTGGGAACGAACAATCGGGAACGATAAATGGTGCGTTATATAATATGGGCGAACCGATGCAACTTTCATCAATGGGGCATGTTATCCCGTAGTAATTTACATCCCATTTTGCAATCAGTGAACCTCGAAAAGTGTCAATATTCAGTATCAATTTTCCCCATTTCTGCTGCACCAATAGTGCAATTGTTTCTAATATATCTAGTTTATTCGCTTCTTCGGTACGATTGGTGATCGTCATACGTACATTTAACTTCAAATTACTTGCATGATTCTACACAACACCAACTCCACCGATCAAGAAATAGTAAGCAGAAATAGAGAGGAAGAATCTTTGATAAATTTAGACGATGACGTTTACCCCTATTCCAATGTTTGTTTCATCTGCCAAATGATGTCATCATAGTTACCCAAAAGATTTAAATTTAAATGACGCACGGAATTAATTTCGTAGGGGACTTTTTACGTTCGATATACATATATATATATCATGTATGCATGTATATATATATATTGATATCATAAGAGTGAAGATGTCAAAATTGTTTACCAATTCTATCCACTTCTTTCACTTATGTATTACAGGGCGAGCTAATTCTAACGTTACAACGGTTTATTCCTCATAATATTTAACGGGATCCATATATATCACGGTACCAATGTGGTATTAATAATACGGTTTGGAAATAGCTCGAAATTAACATGTTTCCATATCCGTAGCAATTTTTGACGGACCGGTATAATTTTAATACCAAGCGGTAGAAACTGTAATACTGAGCAATCAATACTGCCTGATTAAATATATGCTCCAAATTTCCAACAGTACATAAATATCTGCTGATGTATCAAATTAAATCCTAGTTGAAAAATGTATTCGGAGGACTTCCTCCCAATATTGCAATTTCACTTAAGAATTAGCAAGTACTTGCAGTGTACCCCGATCGAGTTTAATAATTTGTCGGGACGACACCTCACCCAAAGTAAATCTTCCCGCAAACTAGCCATTTTTCGGGTGCAATGCGTACTCTCCTTATTCTACTGTTTTGCCATGTTTGCCAACGTTTGTTTCGGTTATCTCGATATAACCGAAAAATTGCAAGGATTCACGTTTTTCACCGTTGGTAGGTACTTCTGCACAAGTGATGATGCACAATTTTTGGACCCTTCTCGATGCATAATAATTATTGATCCATTTTGTTTAATTTTTCTGCACCATTGGTGCAACATTGCAAAAAAATTATTGATCCACTTTGTTGGATTTTTCTGCACCATTGGTGCATAATTACATAAAAATTATGTATCTATTCTGTTGAATTTCTCTGCACCTTTCTGGCAAGTTATACCCAAATCATTATTACAGGGTGAGCTATTTCTAACGTTACTACAGTTTATTTATAACTCAGTTTATCTCAAGTTCGTCTCATTAGATGAATTTCTCAATACATTTGTACCCCATGTCTTTAGCATAGGGTGAAAAATGAATAAACCGTAGTAACGTTAGAAGTAGCTCACCCTGTCATATTGGCTTGGTTATAACTTACGCACCAAAGGTGCGGAGTAACCCGCCAAGCCATACTTACAATACAATTAGCGAGTAAGATACGCATATATAATGACTTGCTATAACTTTACCAAAGGTGCCGAATAATCGCGCAAAATATACAATTATAAAAGCTATACAATTTTGCACCATTGATGCAGGATAATCGAACAAATAGATATAGTATTGTCATATAATTTTGCACCAATGGTACAGGATAACCAGAAAGAGCAGGCATATAAAAATGATATAATTTTGCACCAAGGGTGCAGAATAAGGAGCCAAAATAAATATCTAATTTTGAAATAATTTTGGTTTTTCCTCCGGGGCCTTGAACTCGTGGTGTTAAATTTTTGACACCACTTTTCATCCAGTTATTCTAAACTTTTGGTGCATGTTGCATCGATTCTCCCAATTATTTAGCATCATTTTTGATAACCGGTTGTTTGATACTAACGGTGCTACTTATTCCAATGTTGGAGTACTTTCTCGATCAACTTTCCCAATTGATTCGCACCATTTCCGTTCGGATTGTTTGATGCCAATGGTGGGACTAAGTTATCCAATAATGGACATGGGGATTATTAATTAGCATCAATTGATGCAAAAAACTCGTGAACACACAGAATTCAATAGCTCCCGTGCTACGCAGGGTGAGCTAATAATGAGTAAAGTTGTACATACATTCATTCTTCAAGAATATGAAATGTATAAATAGATATTTAAATATTCAATATCAATTCATTCAAAATTTTCGAAAGAAATTACTTACTCATTATTCATTAATTTATTGAATAAACCCTCCAAACGAATATAAATAAGTAGCGTCAGACCGATTCCAGTTTCCTTTAAAATTTCTCCATATATGACCAGAGGTCATCAGGTCAAAAATTTTAACGTCCTTGAAGTCGCGATCAAATCTCCTTTAAAATGACACCCCATATGACAATTAAAGTTAAATTTAATTTGGACCACACCCCCTGGCGCCGTTGGGTGTGGTCCGATTGACCCAATTTCCGAACTCGACCGAAAACTAAAAATTAGAAGCACAATGGCGAAAACCGGGTTTGATTATGTTGACTCGTTCTGAAGATATCCTGCTTACGGACGGACGGACGGACGGACGGACGGTGTAGGGATTGGATATCCCCCACCCGGCGAGCCTACCACTCGGCACACGGAAGCCACCGTGGCCGAGCAGGACAGAAAAAAGGAAGATCTCTCTCCGTCTCCAGACAGACCGACCCGAGTGTTCCCAGAGTGAACACCTCCACAACACTGCTCTCCACTTTTTCCCTGCAACACGCCGTCTGCGTGGCTGCCATCTTTAAAATACATTATTTTATCTAAATTAAGTTCCTACAATTCATTTTTGTACAAGTAATAATTGCCAATGTGAGTAGTAAAGTTTCTTAAACTCTTGTCAAGTGAAAATTATTAAGTACACCGCTATTGAACAGTTTATTCGGGTCATATTCCATAAAAATCGTACATTGAATCGTGCCAGGTGCAGTTTAGTATAGAAACGGTGCATAAGTGGAAATCAGAGTGGAAAAGCAAGACAGTATTTCTACTTGCCAAGCGAGAGACAATTCATCCTCCTCCCCGTGCGTCGTAGCTCCCATCCGGCTACCCCCCTGTGGCGTGTAAAGGTGTCCGTGACCAGAGGCGTGTTCCTTCGTCCCCCCAAGGACCCTGATGTCCGTTACTCGATGAGACTCGCCCATCATCCCTTACCGAGCCCACGGCATCATCTTCTACGCCCACAACGGACGGACGGACGGACGGACGGACGGACGGACAGACGGACAAAGTGATCACAATAAGTAGCTGACGCTACTTAATAATGAATAAAGAAACTAAATAAATTAATGCGAACAGATATGGAAACCGTGACAAAATGCATTTCTACAATTTTCATATTTTTCGCAGATTTTGGCAAAAACATTCCACTTTCTAGAATGGAGAAAGGAATGAAGTTATTCGTATGGTTTGCGGAAATATCGATCGGATTGGCTCCACCGTTACAATTCATATTGTTAATGTATCGCCCATGCAGTGCGCCATTCCTATTGTCCATGTTTCCTGGCTGTCATCACACCGCAAATTCGGGATTCTCGTTGTATCTAAAGCTGATCCTACACAGCTTTGAAACTTGGATGGCTTGGCATTTACTGTTCTCCGGAGCGGTTTCCTTATTCCATGAATTTTGGGTGGGGATTGTTTGCATTCTGCACTATTTCCGGATTTTTTAGACAGGTTTGTTGCAATTAAAAATGGGTAAATAATTAATAAAGGGCGCATATATACATACATATGTATTTATTTTTAAATTTTTAACTTGACGACGATTTTGGATCACAAAAATTTCAACAATGATTACCTATGTATGTACATATAACTCGGTTTTCAGATATGTACATATACAAATATTTATAAGTATTTCCGCTTATTGAAAAGTACGGAAATATGTTAGACAGTTTTTCAAAAATACATATAGTTTGTGAATATTTCAACCACTTGAGTTGTTTTTTTTACTCAAAGAAATTGTGCGGAGAAAAATCCAGAGCATTATTTTTAACATACAAATTTTGCGAAAATTGTTCGTATTTTTTGTATTGATTGTATTTTTTGACATTTAAATATATGTATCTGAAATAAGTATTTATTTTTGCAAATAATAGACATAGGTATACATATTTCAGAGATTTTTGTAAATACACATCCGCCATATGATTACTCACAATAATTTTGGTTACACTCTTAAATATAATGTGACCCTTTCGAAAAGTAGATAAATGCAATCTCAATTCAACATTATATAAGTAAAGTGTACCAAGTCCAGAGTGATGTTAACTTGATAAAGAATAAAGTTCTCTCTGGATTTAGTATAGGTAGTTTACTTACCTAATATAGAATTCAAAGTGCATTTGCTTTTCAAACGGGTAACACAATTTTTAAGAGTGTAGTTTAGAGATATTAATTAATTTAGGGAGATTGGATTCATCCAGGATAAATCTGAAGTGAATGATGCCATAAAGTTCTACCGTTCGATTCAAATATTGGAGAAATATTTGAACGCTTCTCTCATGACTAGGGTCGTGCCTAGCATAATATTCTGCATACCTGGGATACAGATTGTGGAGCAGTACGTCTGCATAAAATTTCGAACCGCGTTGCCCTTAATGGGCTTCCTGGTGTTCCCATTAATGGCGACGAATGCAATTACCAATAATATTTTGGCACTTACGATGGCTTCATGGGTACACAGTGCGTCGCAGAATGCCCTGACTTCCCTGAATCGCAAGGCTACAGGAATGCTTACAATGCTTAAATCAGGGCTGCTAAATGAACAAAAAAACACAAAATTTTGGAAGATGATTTTGTTTTATTTTCTGTAAAATTCAATATTTTTATAAAACTGCCTTACATTTCAAAAAGGATACTTTGCTATTTCGCTACCATCAGTATCCAGAGAAGAGAAAGAGAGAGAAACCTTTTCATGGAAATCTCCGGGGTTTTTATACCCCGAATTTGTGTTGGAGAGTTGAAGGTCATAATGTGTACATATTGGATAATATCCTAATAATATGCATAACATTTTTTTTACATACAGACGTACATACATACATAATGTGTTCATTCTGAAATGTGCACAATAATGAGTAACAGCTACAAACAAATGGACAAATAGTAACCTTTAGTAAATATTTAATATGTTGAAAAATATGTAGTAAAAACTTGAAAAAATCAATTATACTGAACTCCAATTTAGACAGCACTAATTATTCCATTACCTAATATAAAGGTTGACCTACTAAAATAAATCCAGCGAATCGCCTGTCCGATAATTTTAATAAAAATGTAAAACTAAAATTTGTTAAAAATGTGTAAACATATGTAGCGTGCATGTGCATATTTTATTCAATTACATACATAGTTACTGAAACCAGAGATATGAAAAGAGCTACACTTAAAAGTTCATATTTTTAAATACTTAGGTATTGAACTAAAACATATTTCAAGTATTTACTCGTCCCATTCTGCCACCTCATTGTACTTTGTCACAACTTGAACATCATATTTTTGTCGAAGGTCAGAAATTATGCGTTTACCCAAAACTGGATTAAATTTCTCGCACGGTTCCACAATCTCAAGCTTTTTCAGGGCAGGAAATATCTCACGGAAAGTCTTGTCCTGCAAAGGAAAAAATGTTTTTGTTATATTCGTTGAAAGAGTTTTCTAATAAAACGGTTTAAAAGCCCAGTTACACAACTTTTGATAAATTAAATATATTTTTAAAATGCATAAAGCGACCCAGCTGTCTGTTGAAACTTGACAAAAATTACGTGGCAAGTTAAGTTTGAATTTTGTTAACGCTTTCAAAGCTTAATATTGTGGGTCTTTTTTCCCCACCTTTCTAAGAATTTAGAAGTTATTAAATTTTACAAATTTATAAAATTTTATTACTTACTTCGACAGTTTTACTCAGGAAGAAGATATCGACGTAATTTGCCTCAAGGTCGTTCAAATTTGTCTCCAAGTAAAGTTCTCTTAATTTTGGGAATTCTATCGAATAAACTTTACGATAGTATGCCGAAACTCTTTTTTTGATAAACTCTACTTTAAAAACCTCCATGGTCGGGGCATGTTTTGCGAGGCATTGTTGAAAATCTGACATTATATCTCTTGACAAATCAATTGAATCGAATGGACGTAAAGTTTGCATTCTAATTCTCAATCTTTTCAACCCACGGAGTGCAGCCAGGGCTGCGAGTTTCTGAAATAAAGGCAAAATGCAATTAGATAGATAACGAATTAAATAGTCATTTACACAAAGTTCAATATTTTATGTTTTTGGTAATGATAAAAAGGGCTGGTGCAAGATATCTGTATTATGGCGAAAAATAATTTCTTTCACGGGTATAAGCAGTAAGCGCCATCTAGCGTGCAATCTATACAATTACGTAGGTATGAATTAGAGCCAATTTGCGATGAGCCGCTATATGTGGCGCTTATTCTTAGCATTTCTTGTATATACCTTGCATGCTTCGAAATTTCTTGCAGCGTATATAGTGCAAGAAACGTGGAAAAGGTGCAAGAAATATGAACCACACTGTCAGTCTCAAATTCCCTCAAAATATACTGACGGGGAACTTTGAGACTGGCGTGGGGTATTTAGTTTCTCAGAATTCTCAATTTCTGTAAAAGTTCAATCCTGCGTGGATGGAGAGTAACACTAAATATCTCACAAGTACATTTGCATATTTAAAACGTTGCCTTACATGACATTTGCCATTAAACGTTACATCGATTTCTTGCAGTATTCCGAATTGCTCCCCATATCGAACAATGGCTTGTACAACTCCATACAAATCGATATAAGATGCATCCTCAACGATAATTTTTGCCGTATTAAAATTGGTGAAAAAGTTGGAAACGTCTTCGGCAACTGCGGATCTATCGAGTCGTAACGTGTTGCAGATCAGCTTTGGCAGTCCGGTGATATCGGCTGAAAGGAGGAACTCATTTTTGCAACAATTTACAATTTTTTTAATTTTCCTGATTCTACTTACGGGGAACGAATCCGTTGGGATTAATTTCCAAGTGAGAAAATCCATTGCAAGCGTCAATAATTGAGGCTAGTGGGACGTGTGATTGGTGAATGTTATCAATCGCATGGAGCAGCGAGGCGAAACAAATTAGCGATCCGTTAGGACGCGATAAGTCTCGTAAAAGTTGGGACAAGCCTGAAAATAGATAATTTTGAAAATAATTGATAGTAATCGAATCACCTTTTCTTACACCAAAATTTGTTACACCTTGTCGTATATAGTCCAAGTATCGTTTTGTATCTCAATAAATTTAGCAAATTTGCAGAGACGAAATAAATTTTCCGTAATGTTACTTATGCAAATTTTAAAAGCTTTAAAACTAATCTTGTGATGGAGTTAGATTAGGTAATTTATATCAATTTGTTAAATATAATTTGGAAACTCTTGTTATCGTAATAAAAAAATTATAACAACTTTTTAGATAAACTTGAAAACAAAAACATACTTTTGTGGCTAAGATTTGGGATTTTCAAAATTTATCTATGTACATATGTTGTCATGCATGCTCAAGTTGCGAGATCTGTACATATTTGCATATGTAAATATGTGATGCTTGTGGTGAGTATACCAAATTTATACGTATATACATACATACGTAAATTATGGTAACTTATGCATTTATGTAAATTATGTAAATAATAATAATAATTATAATAAATGATAATTTATGTAAATTAGATTGGATAATTTAATTATCCAATCTAATTTATACTTACATTGATACTCCTCATCAATTTTTTCCTCTTCTCCAGAAATTGTAACTTCCAATTTAAAATGTGTGAAAGATGCGAGCTTATCGCTCAACGCTGTTCGGATATCATTGCCCGACCTCAAGATGAGAAAGGGTTTTCTTTCACAGTTACATTGTTTCTCTGTATTATCCCCGAACTTTAAGTGTACGCGGGCCTGTAAATTATTCAACAAGTTTAGATGCTTTATATATTTAAACGTCCTTAAAACCTTCATACATACCCGCCTAATTTCCTTAAATCTACTCTCCGCGACTGTGTTCCACTTTTTATTGACGAGGCGAACACTTTTCATCGTGTCCAGATCCATCGAGGAGAATATGTTTTTCAACAACTGGATAGGCATTGAAGAGTAATAGAAATTACGAATTAACTACGACATAACTTTTAATCCAAAACGAGACTAAAGATATTTTGTACCAATTCGTTCCATGAAATTGACTCCAATAACTCCGCTATTTCAGGGGGTTCCATTATATGTATGTATGTAGGTCTTGTTTAGAATCTAGTTTAACAATTACGGGTTAATGCACTCTTAAAAATACCGCTACCCTTTTGAAAAGTAATTGGAATGAAGTCCCTCTACACAAAGTAAACTATATATAGTTTACTAGTTTAGTCTGGATTTCTTATAAATACGAAATCCAGACTAAACTTCCCTCTTGATTAGGTTAAATTTTCTCTTGATTTGGTATAATTTACTTAAGAAAGAGAACGCATTTACTTTTCAATAAGTAAGAAGGGTATTTTTAAGAGTGTATTTCCAACTGAAATTAATACTTTAAATATTTAATATTCACTATTTTAAAACCTCGTCGTAGCAGCTGAATGGGAATACAAATTTATTTGATATGTGTGTCCTTGATCTGTTCCCTTCGCAAGTCTCCAACTCTTTTCCCTTATTACATAAAGGGGAGCCGGGGACCGTGCGTGAAGAATGGGATCAATTTTACTATAATGATTTCTCTATCATTTTGTGGTTAGCTTTATGCCACATCTCATATTTGCACAAATATGTAACATGATTGGAGGGATGAAATAGCTGTGCGTTTGGACCCCACGAAATTGACGACATATTTTACGCACTGCGGATTTCTAGCTTCACTGGGGTGCACGCCTTCAGCAAGCGATTAATAATCCACCCTTATTAAAAACTCGATCACCTCCAGTCATGTGAAACTCTGCGGAACAAGTGCATATGTACATATGCCATATGCCTCTGAAATTCTACAGAATACAAGGACATACATATGTATATATGTACATATGTAAATATTTTATGCATATTTACGTTTGCAGTTTGAAAACTTCGGGGCATGTGTTCATATAATTCCACCCCTAGCCAAATGTGTCGCTCGATACCAGTCTTATGTATCTACATTCAGACTAACATATGCATTTTTCATGGTTTCTTTACTACATACATACATACATATTTACATATATTGAGGCTATCATAGTTAAAAAAGAATATGAAATACTTAGATACTATTTCTTAATATCCTTTTATTACCTGTTGAATTCTGACATGCTCGAACGTTGCTTCCGTTGTTGCAAAGGTTTTAAAGCGTATGTACATATTTCCAACTTTCTTTACATACGCTTTAAAACCTTTGCAACAACGGAAGTAACGTTCGAGCATGTCAGAATTTAACAGATAATAAAAAGATATTAAGAAACAGTATCTAAGTATTTCATATTCTTACTCCATATTTCCAACTTTCTTTTCTATGTAATTTATTTATTTTGTAGGATGATTAATAATGCTTAATGAATACGATGTACATATTGTGCACAAATCCAATTTATTTCATTTTCTTGAGCTGACAAGCATTCTGCTGGAACATTAAATTTGAAAATATTACATATTTACACTGGAATTTACGTAGATTACTTAATATGCAATTTAGATTCGATGTACTCTTCAAAAGGGTAACATTATTTTTTCAAACGTACTGGCAATTAGAACCAAAATCAATTCAAAATTTGCTGAATCTATTTATTTAGAGCGATTTTCAAAGCTTCCTCCCTGCTGATGCGTGGATAATCCTTCACAAAAGTAAGAATGGGCTCTCCAGGTCGACCCATTAAGGTGGCGAGAACTTTGCAAGTTGTGCTGTTCGACGCGTTTGCTGACCAGACATGGACATCGCCCTCGTTTTCATAAAATGTGTCGCCAGCCTTGAGAATTCGGAGGGGATCCTTGTTCTTCTAATTATTTATTTAGTGACATGGTTACAATTTTATAATTTTAACAAATTTAATGCCATTTATTAATCAAACACCCTTAAAAATTAAGTTTCCATTTCGAAATGTAAATGCACGCAGAATTCTATGTACATATATTTATGAAGTAAACTTCACTCTAAGAAATTCAGTATTAAAATATTTAATACCAAGCGGTATTCATACACGACTCTACCAAAGTGGTATTGATAAGAAGCACTAGCTTTATATTCAAGTTTTATCATATCGATATAGCAATTTTTACGGACCGGTGAAATTTTAATACCAAGCGGTAACCACTTTAATACCGAGAAATCACTACCTGCGTGAGTATACCGGATTTCTAACATTTTTATACTAAAGCCAGAATAATCTTTGCGCTTTATCAAATTAACTTTGCTGTTTCGTTTGCTTAAAATGGAATTCAGAGTGCATTTATGTGCTTTTCAAAAGAGTAACATTATTTTTAAGAGTGTACCTGAAACAGAAATTCGCCTTCCAGCACATATCCAACTACTGGACCGGGATGGGTGTGTGGATCAGAACCAAGATCGCCTGGTGGAAAGGTCAGGTGAACCATGGTAGCGACCACGTTTGTCGACGGTGTGACCACTGGTTGTTCCAAGACAACGGCTAGATTTGCCTTGCTTGATGTGTAGCATAGCGCAAATAATAATGCTAATATTTGCAAAGATTTAATAAGTGGGGTGGACATGGTGATGATGAGGTTGGCTCAGCTAATACTAAATACAAAATTCCTTAATTTAATAAACATTTTATAATTATGAAAATATAAAAATATACAAGTTTCTTACCATAAAATCTTAAAATGTTCTGTATTAATCAAGGATTATCTTCACGCTTAAATATGCTCTCAAGTACCTTCCAGTCAAGTATCTAGTAACCAACTACTAACGAAAGTTACCTTGAAAATGAAAAGCATCTTATTTTTATCCCAAGTCAGGGCTTATGTACCCGTTGTCTGTGTATCTACACATCTATCAATTATAGTCATACAACAAATCCCATCGACTTGTAATTTTCCACACAAGTTGCACATGTAAAATTAGGAGTCAAGTTGGAAGGTGAGCAAGATCTGGTGAAAAACATATGCGTTACACATATGTAGTAGACAGTTGTACAACCTGACTCGGGCTAAATACATACACACAGCCAGACAGCAAGTTTTTGCATGTGTGACGATATTAACTTGATCGGGTGCAAGAGATTAGTTTAATTGTATGCATCGATTTATTCTTCATAAGTCATTACTACCTTGTACATACTTCCATTTGATTGTTCTCTAGCAAACCAAATGCAATACATGTTGATCAATATATGCAAAATACTTGGACAAAGCTAAATCAACAAATAAGTAAGTAATCATTACAATGTCCACATACATAAATCACTGTCATTTTAAGACAAGTTTTTTTCCCTCGTATTAATATCAAAGAAAGAATTAATTAAAGTTGTTGTTCAGTTTGTCAAGGGTAAGTTTTTAGGCACATAATATATGTATGGTTCATGGTCGTTTCATGAAAATGATGTACATACATACATATGTAATACCGAATGCAGTGGAGGTGGAGAAGCCTTTTTGTCATAACTATCTCAATATTATTTCGGATTTAACTACTTCTAATATATTTGTTGATGTGTACATACACACACAAAATTCGGACAAGTGGTCATTGTAGTCAGAGTCAAGCAGATCGATCTCGTCGTCCGAGGTATGGTTTTCGATGTGCACTTTTGTGGCGTATTATCTTTGAAGAGAAAATCTGGATATCATTTCAATAATCACGTACAAATGTATATGTACATAAGTAGATATGCAAATAAGAATAGACATGTAAATAGGTAAGTATCAAAATTATTGCTTTGAATTGATTTTCATGAAACTTAAGCACTTGGACGTATTTATGTACATATACGTATTTACATATGTACATATAAATCCTTATATGCAAGTTACTTGAAGAAGTTGACTGCACATACATAGATGAAGGCTTTCAATAAATTTTATTTCAATCAGAATTTTCTCCGCTAGCGATATTAACGACCAAATATACATAAACACTTACTTGAATATGCATCATGTACCTATTTCAAAAATTAGACCAAATCGAGTTTAAAGTATGGCAAAATTTTCAAATAATCAATTTCCTTGTATACATGAAATTATATACTAACTAAATAAAAGTTAATAAGTTGATTGTCCTTTTGCCTATGTTCCTCTTTATCAGTTTACCGATAAGCCCAAAAAGGATACTAGCTTAACTATGTATACACATTTAAATATATATATATATAGTTACGTTATAACATATCTATCCATGCAAATCAAAATGCCAACCGCATGAAGTTATTTATTTGATAAGACTTAAACACCATATCCAGAAAACCCGTATGTGTTTATGATAATGATAATACACCGATCACTGATCAAGGGGATGATACCACATTGCTAAAAATTCGCCTAATTTTGAATTTATTTGCTTGAATACAAAATTTGGTTCAATCTTTTAAAATACAAAATTCATATATTCATAAGTAATTTCGTTATTTTCCCATCAACAGGTTGATTTAAACTTAATCTTTAATAAATTACTACCCGATTTTAACCTTCGTCACAATTTTCGTTACCGGGTCGATATGCACGTTTAATCTGTCCTCTCGCCAGTCCATGGTCATAATGGTGCCCGGCTTTATAATTCTGTAGCGAGGAACGCCAGCTTTAATTTCATCCTCGGAAACCTGTTGGAAAAGATAAGAATATCTTGTATATCTATAAGACGCACTTCTTTTAGTAAATTTGACTAGAATTTTGGCAATCCAAAATTTCCAATAAATTTAAATTTTTGAGTACATACATATGTATGCATGCACTGTAAAGCATGTGACTAATCTCTAACTGGTTTGCATGAAAGAATTTAATTTGGGTACACAATTTTTTTGAGAATGGTCTGAGAGATATATTTCACATATAATGATACAATTAATTTTATGCATTAATAAATAAACATTGAAAAGTGCAAAATTACTATTTATAATAATTCAGACTCAAATAACGCATTTGATAGTTGCAAGTTTCTTTTTAAACCTGACCCTCTGCAACCCATACATTTTCATAAGGCATCTTTGTTTTAGGCAGATCCTAATTAATTATGCCGTTACTAATTAACTATGTATGTAATTAGCTAACTAATTTCGTTGCTGCGTATAAATTACCTCTTTACTCTGATCCACAACTTGCTCCCCAGAAAGGATTATCTTTTTTCCAACCAGTATTGTCGTCCATTCGTCCAAATTTATTTCGGCCGACATTTCGCTGGATGAAAGAATTGGTGGGATTTTAACGTTCAATTTTTAATGTAAATTTACTTTTTATGATCTTTACCGTTTTGTTTTGCTTAATCGAATTGGGCTGAGCGGATCTGACCCAGCTGGATTTTTCGTTTCAAGTGTTAATAATAATCATGAGTGGATAATCATGTTTTGTTAGCGTTGCATGATATGATCGATACAAACTTGCATACAAATGAGTAATGACGAGGGCGTGAATCTGACTAATCTGTACATGTACATTTGTAAACTTACGTAAATACATATTTATATATGTACGTATGTAAAAGGATCTTAACGGTGTAAGAGGATAAACCTTTTGAAACATGAAATCGTTCGTTTTACAAAAATAGCGGACAAAGCAGCAATTCCTTGCTATGCGCAATCCGGTCGATATTTTTTTACCTGGAAGAAAATCAGTATTGTAACTTTAGGGCTATTTAATACTCAAAAAAATATTTGAGTCTTCTTAGAGGTGATACAAGATTTGTAATTTTACATAAACACAAACGTTATATAGTAAAAATGTGGTTACCAGGGCAAAGCATGATTTTAATATAAAGCAAAAAATTTGAAATTTCCCAACTTCATGAATCAATTATGAAAATACGTGCTTTATGTTAACGATATAACGTAACGGAGTTATTTGACCAGAAACACTTTGGCTCTTGGGGTAGGAATATGTGTCGGAAGCTTAATGTTAATTCGAAGTCGAAATAAGCATTGCTCGCAGCATTTATTTATTTAATGTTTTATTTACATACATAATTTTTCTTTCCAACAATTTCTAGTTGCATTGATACTTTATAATTATTTAGTTTACCTGGAAATTGCGAATATTTCCATAAACAATGATGACTTACATAATTTCTAATCAATTTATTTTTCTTATTATACAAATCCACGGAAGTATTTAGTGTAACTATTACTCATCCTGGACCATCTTCATTAGTGGCTTGACCTCAATTAAGTAGATGTCATTTTCTTTAGTCGAAACTGTGTCATCACCTGTCTCAGGGCCAAAGTACAGTTCCGAAGACCAACATAGTTTTCGCTTAATTACGACAAAAATCGTGGAGACGGTGGCAATTGCTATAATTGCAAGTAAGGCAAGCGCAATAATGAAGAACCAAACCGGAAACAAATTGGTATTTCTTTTGAAAGTCCTCGGTATTTCTGGCATTTCTTCCAACAACGCTTCCTCGACGACTTCCAAGATATCGTCCCATGAGGTTGTGACATCTTCCTCAGCTTCGTAGGTAAGATCATGCACCGATTTGTCTAAAAATTTCTCCATTCCTGGTAACTCGATTGCAATGTTGGAGGCAAATGTTTCATTCTGTTGTGTTGTGTTCACTAGGGAATTATTGCTCGTGGATGGGTAGAAGCCTGAAATAATTATGATGGTCGGTTCTTCTCCATCGTTACTCATAATATTGCTGAACACTAGGTCGTCCTCACTTTTTGCCATGAGAAAACTAAAATTGCTCCGCGTTTCGGTTTTCGGATCCTCGCCAAGGCTAGAAAGAGTATGTTATATTACCTTATCTGATATGCTTTTTAGAATTTGTTAAATACACCTAATTTTTAAACCAAAATATCACACATAAGTTTCCAGTCGAAAATTACTGGTATGAAATTTAAAAGAAATTTATTTGACAAATTTGGCAAGCTGACTGCAAATTTGTCCTGCACATGCTAATCATGCAAAATTAATGAAACTATTATTCTGTAATGCACTCCCTCGGTATACAATTTTTACCTGATTTTATGTCCGTCTTCCAAATCCTCCTGAGATATTGAGTAGACGGTTCCAGGTTCTATTAAGATTGGCTTTGGATAGATAACCCACCTATCCGTTATCGTGTCTGCGCCTTGCTTAATTCTGCTACCTGGTAATTCAGTAGTATTGTTACTCTCATCGACGGTCTTAAGTCCCATGACGGCGGAGTTGAGCAATATTTGGAAAATATCAGCGATGTACACCCCATTTACAAGCGTTATTTCCCCCGGAAGTAGTGATTCATATTCTGGTAAGGAAATTATCAAGTCGTCCCCCTCCCTTCTAACTGGTGGAACATATTTGGTTCCTATCTGTGCCCTCAAGGGTACAATAATGTCCGTTAGGTCCAGGGTGTGTATGAGTCGTTGATCTTCAGTAACATTTGTAATTGTGGGGACACCAGTATTGATAACGAGATCATGTTGGAGGAAAACTATCTCGTAAATTGTATTTGCTCCTCCTCCACCGTAAAAGTGATTAGTAGCGTTTTTAGAAGTGGTTAGCACATTTCTTTCCTCCTCTTTATCGTTTCCTGCTTGAATGACGAAATCTTTCGTTTTGTAAATTATTGTGATACCTAAATCTACCGCAATTTTTGCCACCATGGACTCATCTAAGACGCCTGTTTGGCTGTTTGGGGTACATATGGCCAAAATTTCTCCTGATCTGCCGACCCTTACTTCGCACGCGTCCCTCGTAAAGAATTTTGGTTGACGGTAGAATTCGTCTTCTTCGTCCAAAATTACAAGCATTTCATGGAAGTAGTGGGAATCTCCGATGGAGTAAGTGACAGTGTCGTTCCATATGTAGAAGTTGATCGAATCTAGGTCACTTAAGGTGAGTGGGAGGTGGTAAATGTGCTCGGTGTGGAGGAACTGGTTGTGGTATTTTCTCGAAATTAATGGAGTAAAGGACATCGGCTCCTGGAAGTGGTAGCGAAATTCTCCTTCGGCCTCTGTTATTTCGATGTCTTCATTTTCAATCGGCATAAAGAAGGACACAACCGTCCCTGGCTGCAAAGTGACATCCAAGTAGAACCAGTGGCAGTAATCGGGGTATATGACAATTTCTTCTGCTGCGGATATCTGCTCGGTGTTGCATCCTAGAAAAAAATTACGTTATTTATTGACTAGATGGGAAGTACGGAAGTGTAAAAAAGTTTCCCGAAACGAATAATTCGATTTGGCTGACGTGACAAATTGCTATTTATTTAGGGTTTTCAAATAAGCACAGTAATAAAATAATTGGTAAATTAAGAATACTTGCGTACCTGGAATTACTGTATCCTTGTGATTTACACGGCCAAAGAATTTGTGAATGTCTGTCATTTTTTCAACCACAGGCCCCGACGTTGCGGAGATGCTGCCATTCGTATCATGCAAATCGATTATGAGATCTTCATCTGGACACAAAGTGTCTAGAAGACGGACTACATTCGTCCCATAATCGTTGTCCTGACCGGAAATCACGTTAATTTTTGATGGTACTGAAGCAATCCAGAACTCATTAAGAATTTCTGCCCCAATGCCACCATGAAATTCAAATCTAGACTGTTCGTCAAAATTTTGTGTAATATTCACGACGAAAGTGTTTATCGAAGTTGTAAGTCCGTGAAGGATAAGCGTATTTGATATATATTTTATTTCCCATATAGCATTAAGCTTGGCCTCTTCACCGTCGGATTCGGCTGCCTGGAAAATTAATCAAATTTCAATTATTAGTGTAAAGGACTTGAAATTCAAGACATTTGTCAATTAGCATGTACATGGACAAAATTAAATTTGGTCGAAAGATTTTATAGCTGTAAGATTATAAGACACTGTGCAGAAAGCATTTGATCGATTTGAAGGGGGATGTGGCAAAGCATCTTATTCTTATCATGTTGATTATAACATGGGACGTAGAGGTCAATCCGGGCCCCGGTTTCTGGGGGGCAAAGGGTAAAATCAACCAAATGCTATGTATGGCCCAGATTAAGTTCATTAACGCTTTCTAAAGCGTAGTTTCTATGTTTGTACAGTAAGCAAAATTTAACTCGTACTTTTTTCTATGATGTCGTAAATCAATAGTTTACTGCTTTCTGGAAATCGATTCTTATTATCGTATACATCGCTTTTATAGGAAATTTAACGTAGATTCTAAAACAAATCCTAATTTTTTGGTTTTTCTGACGGGTAATGAACCATTAATTAAAAAGTTGGAGAAAACCCATTCAAATCCATGCAAAAAATAAAATTATATCGTACCCTTCTGAGGTTTTTATGAAAATTGTGCCTAATAATTTGGTAACACTTTGTAGAACTTCAACATGTTGCACATACTTCTGTCATTCTGAATGATACGTTTACAGTTATTCAGAATCCTTGCGCTCTAGTCCTCGGCCCATTCAAAGCCCTACGCCATATTATATTTATATATGAATGGCTTCATGGCCCTAAATTTCTTTTCCGGAATGCAGCTTCTGATGAGTCGAAACTGTTGTGTTATATTGTATTTGCGGTCCAGATGTAATTTTCGTAGCCAAAAGTCCGTAGATGGCCAAGTTCTTCCCGGTTTTATTCCGATCCTCGTTTTTTTGTTGTAGGCCTTTCGACTCCGTGTCCATGGAACTTGAACACGGATTCATGTTTCTTCCATTTTTGGACAATGAATTGGTTAAACGGCTCCTGAAACTTTGTCCTCCATGCAATTTCTGCGTAGCATAGCCCGCTAGTACATATGCAGGCCAACGACCTTCTTCCTTCATAGGGTATAGCTATTTTCCGCCCATTTTGCAAGATGTCTGACAGTATGAAAGTGAAAATATTTGAAATTTTCTCCATACAAATATTAAAAACCGTAAACAAGCCAAAATTCATTTAAGAATTATTGTTTTTGCCTTTGATGAAGAATGAGAAAGTCGAAATACCGAAGGGTACGATTTAATCTTTTGCATGCATTTTCAATTCTCCTCGGCTTTTTAATTAATGGCTCGTTATCAGTAAGGCAAAACGGAAATGGGGATAACTTTTGGAATCGACTTTAAATTTCGTATAAAACTGATGTATGACATAATAATAATCGATACCCATCAAGCAGAAAACTAACGATTTATAACATCGCAGAAAAAGGAACGATTTCAATTTGTGCTTACTGTATGGTAACTAATCGAGGAAGTAGACGAAGATCGAAATATTTAGATCATGAACGACTTATTACAAGGGTTTAAACTTGTAAGTGGTTAAAACCAATCAAGAAGCTTCAGTTTTCACCATGCAAATCTAAGAATTCTTATCAGACGAATTTGGTAATATATGAGCTGATTTATGTAAATTACCTTAAACTCGCAGGTTACTCCCTGGTCAGAATTTACAAATCGGATTGTAGGATTCAGGGAAGTTCCTAACCGAATCGCGTCAAATTTTAAAGATTCATTGAAACTGAAGTTAAGTTGGAGTAAGTGTTTTGCTTCCTCATAGACGGCCTCAGATATGATTCCTGCTGGTAGAAATCGGTACTGAAGGACATGTTGATTTTCATGGTATGGGTAGAATTTTATGCAGTCAAGGCCGGACTCCAATGAAATATCGTAGACGAAACGCCCATGTCTAGCTGTGTTACGAACTTCTGTGAATTCTGGCACCAGTACAAGTATCTCGCATGATCTATTGTTATCGTCTATAAATATTTTGTCTTTCCCCTCAGTACCACTACTTGCACCACCTCTGCCGTCAATCATTGTTACGGATGCGTCACAAGATGTTACAATTATGTCTGGTTTCGAAATACGTCCGTAAAATTGTTGAATATTATCCATTTTCGCATTCTGCCCTGGAGAAGTTCCAAACCATTTCCGATGAAAGTTGAACGTTATTGCATTGTCGGCGGAAAGTTGTTCCACAATTAGTGTATTCTCAGAGGAACCAATTCCACCTGTGAAGCTGGTTTCGTTAATTGAACCCTTTTCGTCAATTTCTAGAATGAAAATGTTTGTTGAATTAGTGGCCCCATTAACGTTCCAGCAGTTTCCGGTGAGTTTGAAATAGTTGGCGAGCCCTTGAATGCCTTGGTAAGATTGACACCCTGGGAAATGGAATACTTGAACGGATCCACTTGTATGAACGAGTAAATTACCGTTCGGCTCATTTTTTGCGTTAAAAATTGTGACTGTGGGACCCGAGAGAAATCTGGGATTGCCGGTTTTACCAGAAATCTTAAAGCTAATTTCATCACCGTATCTGGTGGATAGGTTAATAAGAAAATTGTTGTTGGCTGGATTGTTAGGAACTTGGCTCAAACTAAGATCTGTGAGATGTATGTCGAACGCTAGAGTGCTACTTTCATGGGTATTCACTTTGAAAAGTAGGCGTTCATTTATTTCTGTGCTATTTGTGATGATCAGCACACGCCCAGTAATATCCGTACTGATGTTGGATGCTGTATTTTCTTGTAGCTTCATGTTTCCTTGAGCAACAATAGTGAGAAATTTCGTTACAGGGCAATGGATTCTACTCGGAATTATGACCAAATCTGGGTTCGAAAAACTCCCACCGCTAGTTGCAACATGTTCAGTATCGCAGCCACAAGTAACAGACTCTGCAAGCTTCTTTCTCCCTTCGAGAGTTGTAACTCCAGAAATTTTAATGCCGTCATTAATCGTTCCGTGCATAAAATTAATGTCCAAACGACCTCGGCTATCTTCATTGAACGCTATTATATTCTGTTTCCTGGATGGAGGACAGTTGATGGATGCATGTGCGTGCGCCAGGAAGCTATCGTATAGAATAAATGAGTCGCCCATTTTGCCACATTTCACTTTCCAACTCCCGCCCCTCAATAGGAATATGTTTGGAAACTCTTGAGCTCCTATTCTTTCTAATAAATCTTCGAAGCGATAATTTGTTCCTATGTAAATATCCAGCGAATGAATAAATTTAAGCTCGCCAGGAGACTGGAAGTTTGCAGAAGAATATGATGATCCGCCGTAGACCCCTTCCCAAAATAGGACCTTGACTTGACTACTGGCATGAGTTACTTCGGCAGTATCGAAAGAAAGATTAAAGCGCCCTCTCCCATTTGCAGCTGTGGAGTTTAATGAAATCTTTGATATGGTGCTTGTGTAGCTAAGATTCGTGTAATTACTGCATCCGTCTTGAATAATTACGGTCAAATCCATGTTCTTATGTAGGTGAATATTGCACTCAAAATCTGCAGTTTCTCCAGGCAGTGACACAAGTTGAATAGGTCGGATGCTAATAGACCTTGTAGCTCTAGGTTTGCTGTTGATGACTTTGGTATTACCCTCAGAGATTATGGTAAGAGAAGTTGTGCAACCTATAACTGACAAGTCAACAACATCTGGGTTAGTACCACCACCTTGTGACCGTACGGTTCTTAAATCACAACTCGGCTTGATGAATTCCGTCCTGCCCTTCCGTCCTGTTATTTCGTTTATGTTGCTGAACTGAATATTGAAATTATTATACCCTGTGCCATCCGATAGGTAAGAGTCCTTGAACGAAATTTGTGAACCTCTCAAAAGATCATCCGGCAACGTGATACTGTTTACTCCACCACCACCTTCCAAGAGTCCATTCAACTTAGTGCAATTCGCATGCAGTACAAAATTATCATTTCCGTTTGCTGCCACAAATTTCTTTTGCCCATTTTGGATGATAAAAATGTTATCCTCTGAAGAATACTCGTTTAAATAAACCCAATCGTTTCCGTCCTCTAGGTCAAAGTAGAATATTTTTCCACCCAAATTGGGTTGATAAAGTGCGATCGTCCCGTCACAAAGGTAGTCGCGCGTCATGCTCCGTTGTGAAGTGCGAAATCCCTGATCTGTCAAATGGCCTGGGCGGCATTTAAACACAGCGCCATTTACCTCTGCAGGAACTGCACGCTCTAGGTGGATCCACTGCTTCTGGCGAAAATCGACGAGATTATTCAGACGCGGATATCCTTCCTGCACATTTGAAGATTGATCGCACAAACATCTGTAATCGTCATAAGACCAGTCGCCGGTTGATTCCCACCAATTAGTGCAACTGTGCCCATCACAATATTGCCCTTGATCGCAGCCTCTCGCAAGCTCCACGTCGGATGAAAACTTTTGTGAACAACCCCATAAATTCTTCAGGTAACAGGTCCTACGGGTCACCCTACAACTGCCAGAATAACTTATGCTTCTTGCGGGGAAAGCGATTCCACTTAACTGTGGATTGCTCTTAAGAAAGTTTAGGTTGTGTTTAACGAATAGGTCATTAAGCTTCTTTGTTTTTACTAGGTCATCCACATAGTCATTCTGACGGGTCCCAAACCAGTCGAAGAATCGGCTTACGAATTGCTCGTTTTTCTCAAAGTCAAGAAGTGGAATGTCCGATTCAATTCGATCAATTTCATTTTGTGTTTTAAAAAGTGATACGACCAGCGACAATGCCAGGTTTGCAATGATTCCAACCACAGCAATTATCGCTCCAGCTGGAGGAAATGCAAGTGTGGCAACTACCACCGCTGTGGTTATCGCGATGTCCACAGACTCTTGTACAATATCGGCAATTGCATCATTTTTGTCATATTGGTTATCCGAGGCGTGCAATCTGTCGACCGCCTTCGCTAAGGAATACGACGACAGACCTATGTCTGCTATGATCCCAATGGGTCCAGCTATTTTGCCAATAATTTTTGAAGTTTTTGCAAATTTCCCACCAACTCTAGCCAGATTGCTGGACAACTTGGCGCCCTTTTCAACTGCTTCGATTCCTAGCCTAGCTCCAATAATTCCAAGCGATGTATAGTCTTTGTGTATAGCCCCATTTACTATGCTCTTGCCCAGGAGGAAAATCCCAATGGGGGCAGTAGATTTTGAGATTGCGGAGGATGAACGGGAGAATCCTTTGCTGTTATATAAGTTGTTAATTTTTTTGGCTAGTTTGGTTTGGCTAAGTTTCGTTTTAACTTTTCCGCTTTGGACTTTGATCTTATCCCAGAGCTGTAATAAAAAAGAAATAATCAATATCGAATATTAACAATACCACAGATAAACTACCCACATGAAAGGGATAATTTCTTGCTGACTTTACTAAAATCATACATCTTCAATTTTTAGTAAACATCTACGTCACGTCTGAAAAATCTTAGTTTATAGCATTTAGATTAAGTTCCGTAATATTGAATCGATAAGACAAAGACCTGCATTGTTCTAAGCAAATATAACTTTATTGTTCTTTAGTTGGAAGAACTAAAAATTGAGGTCTCCCAACGTATACTCACAGGTTTGGAACAAACTAGCGTCAATTGATTACAAATATAATTACCATGAAATTTGCAAATGGATCTGTCTGCCAATGAGCAGGTTTGGCAGAGATATTTGAATCCAAAGCGGGAAAGATACGCTGCAAATTTGGAAAATGAAAAATTTGTTAGCCATTGGGGTGGGTCTTTTCCTCTTTTTATGCAAATATCTCCGCTAAACTTGAGCATTGGCTGATAGTTTCAGTTGCAAATTTCATACTAATTATATTTGTAATCGATTGACGCTAGTGTGGTCCAAATCTCTGTGCATACATTGGGAAACCTCCTTGATAATGTTATCCGTATCGATAAGGAAATACTATGGGACGTTTAAAAGCATCGAAAAATTTATCAACATTCCCACTGGTGGTACACAATCGGCAGTTTATCGCTATAAATTCGCCACCAAGTAGCCGAATTATGATAGACGATTTGTAACCAATATGATTTGCTTTACTGTTTTTAACTTAACCTCGTTTCTATTAAAATTTGTTTGCCTTATTGAATCCATCGACCCGAAATTATCATTACCCCAAAAATATGGATTTGAACCCAATTGAAAATTGACACCGCATGGATAAATATATGTAGCCCTTTTTGCATCTTCAACTATGATATTTTACACTTACCGCTCCACCTTTCTGTTTAAGCTTGGAGGCTACCGTTGCCTTTTGGTAGGTTTTTACGTCTTCAAGTTTTGCTAAATTTTTCACCTTATCCACGTCATCTGCGCTACCCTCGAACTGAAGCCCGTCTTCCATCCTGGTAGCTTCTGCCAATTTTCGTTTTTTGAACTCGTCCCCTTCGGCATATTCCTGGATGAACCTTTTACTATCAATTTTTGCGCAAGGTGATCCCAATGAACGCTTTCTTCTGCTGCAACCAGAAATATCTACAAAACCAAGTGAAATGCAGTTGATATGTAACTCTGAAACGAGTAGTTTCTTAACACAAAGGGTGTGGATTTAATTCGTCCTGATAGTTTTTTTGCGGATGCGACACAAACTTAGTAAAGAGAAGTACAAAGTTAAAACAAGATCAACATAAATTGCCGATAACAAAATTAGCAATATGTCTCAAATAAAAAAAACGTCAAAGTTTCCACCAGTTTTAGGGTGGAAGTTTTCAAGTGTTGGCACGCGAAATCGGGGCGAATTAAAACAAATCCCTCTATATTATCTAATTAATTTACCAACATATATCCTTACCTACGGATTTTAGCTTGGTTGCCATCATTTCATCCAAGTCATTGGTGCGCGATTTAAGCCTAGCTTCCATCTCGGACAAATCAGTAACTTTAACTCCTTCAGGTTGCTCCCAGTTTTTTATGTTGGCCGCGGGCTGACCAGGTTTATCGTGTTGAGTAAAGTCAAATATGTCGTCGGCATCTATTATCCCTTGCTGGCACTTTTCGCATAGCGATTTGCTTACACCAATCACGACTTTATTCTCCCCTCCCAAGTTGGCCTGTTTAGAGTAACACAGGGTAAAAAGTATTTCACACTTGTTACCAGAGATCCGTGATTAATTAATCGGGATTAACGGATTAAGGATTGGGATTAAGGATTAATAATCCTTAATGCATAATCCGGACAAAAAATTGTATGCAATTAATCCTTAATCATTAATCCCGACGAAACATTTCGACGCTATTAATCCATAATCCTTAATCCCGACAAAGCGGGTCCAAATTATTAATCCTTAATCACGATTAGGATTAATTCTCGCAGGAGAATAATCACCGCGAATGGAGTGAATTAACACTGACATTACATATTATCAACCATACGATATTTTTCCACTCTTTCTACTTCAACCCCCCCCCCCCCCCCCCGAAATTAAAATGTATTGAATTCTTTAACATTAAATTGTTGCTTCCATAAAAATACCGATTAAATCGTTAATCATGGTTAACAGTGATCTAACTGAGCTGAAAGATTTGTCGTTCATCATGTTCATCACCGACAGATTCTTTGATGTCGAACAAATTGACAAAATCAGCGGCTCTTTATAGAGCCAGGCGCATAACTTGTGCACCAAAGCGTGCTAAATTGGTGTTAATATTGGGCCAACATCAAATTTTACTTCACATTTGACATGCAAAAGTCCTATGCATTGTCTGTTTTGAATGTAATTGACGTTTTAAAATTCTTATGTGCTACAACAAACAATTAAACTACATTAAGTTGAATAAAATAATAATAATAATCCTTCAAGAATTAATCAGGATTAATTAATCCTTAATCCTTAATCCCAGTAAATGAAATTATTTAATTAATCCCGGATTAATCTAATAGCGGAATAACATTAATCCTTAATCCCACAAAAAAAATCATTAATCACGGATCTTTGCTTGTTACCAAATTTAAATTACACAGGTGCTAAGTACAGAAATACCACAGCTATGTAGTGATAGAGATGGAAGAACCATTGAAAACAACGTGGAGAAAGATTTAGAAATAATTCGAGTATAATTCATTTTGGCTTTGTAACTTTGCCCCAGTTTTTCAGTTGGCAGAAGCAGGATGTAATTTAAGCTAAAATTTTGTCAGGTGTTTACAATTGGAGTGATTTTAGATCGATGTATGTGCTACATATCTGTGGTACATAGAACAAATAATTTCCATGGTGGTAATGAGATTTTCATCGACTGGGAATACATAATGTGCACCTAGGGTTGCCATCCGATCGGATAGGATAGGATAAAAATAATTTTTATCCGATCGGATAAGTCCACTCTTCGGATAATCCGAGTCGGATAATTTCAGAAATATTATCCTATCCGATATCCGTCGGATATCCGACGGATAGGATAATCAAATTAATTAGTAAAATAAATACAAAACTTTCAAATAATGCAAACAATGTCGGGTATTCAATTTACATAAGCTCTCTTAAGATTATGTTAAGTGCACTGAGCACAGACTAAACTACTAAGGGAATTGTAGGAATTAGACGTGATACATATGTATATATTTGACAAACGTCTTTCTATATGTCTCCACTTTTTTTTATTAGGTAGTTTGAATAAGTATGATACGCAGTATGTAATCAGTTCAATTTATCATAATGTCAATATTAAAATTAATTACTTTAAAGCACCCACAGAACTAGATTGATTCTTTATGCAATGGGAAAATAACCTTATATATTAGACAAGAGAACCGGTTTGTGTCTGACATGGTAATAATTTTACATCTGCTAACTTTACTCAGATTTGTCTCGAATTACTTAAATATATCCATGGATGAAAATGAAATACAATTGGAGATGGAATATTTACTTTACTTTCGCACATACAACGTGTCCAAATTACACTTAACTCGTCATTTTTAAATTATCCGATATCCGTCGGATATCCGACGGAGAACATCGGATAATCCGAGTCGGATAATTTGAAAAAATTATCCTATCCGACGGATATCCGAATCGTATTTTTCCTTATCCTATCCGACATTATCCGATCCTATCCGATCGGATAGGATAATCTCGGATAAAAACGGCAACCCTATGTGCACCCAGATAAAGTTTGGAAAGTGGGCAGCATTTACATACATATTTAAACGTACTAACCTTCTTAGCCTGGTAGAGTAGCTGCATTTCTGCATGATGGACGTGCGCCCCTTTAACATTCTTTTTGTAATTGAATTGATTCCCCACAGTTTTATCGAATTCTAACTTCTGAGTTTGCAAATTTCGTCTAAATTTCTCCTCCATCTTGGCAACTTTTGATTGGAGGTCGGCCTCAGAAAACTTGGGATTCTTCCTGGCGTTCCGATCTAATCTTTCTAACGCTGCTTGGTGATTCTTTGTCAGCTCGTCTACCCTATTTTTCCACTCTCCTTGTTTTTCAACTTCAAGATCTCGAACGATTTGGCTCTCTGCGGTCGGCTGGACGACAAGCACGGCGGGATCTTTACCATCGAAGGAATCTTTCATATTGGTGTCACGTATTGCCTTTTTTATGAGCGGGGCGTCAGAGTCGTCAAGGCCGAAATGATCATGTGGATAAATCACTTCTTTATTCATGGCCAATTTCTTGAATAGTTCTGCATCGCTGGGGTCAAGAGGAAGCTCAACGTTTTTAATATTCCCGGAAATGTAGATTTTATCACCGTCTACCATTACTGCGATAGTGTTGATGTCTTTGTTCTTCCTAATTGACCCCTGGAAAATAGAGAAATAAAAGATTGTCAATTACTTTTTATTTTGCAATTTGCAATTGCGATTTCTTACGCATTTGAAAAATTAGTGATAATTTCTTTATTAGAAAAATTTTAAAAGTAATGAAGTACCGTAAATAATCTATTTATAGCGGGGTCTCGATCCCAAGTTTGAAAAATTTAATAAGTTTGCTTCTATTTAATTATGACATTCCAATAACTTGTGTTCTTAAATGCTTCAAGTTATGAATGACCGGAAAAAAATTTGCCAAATCTGAAATAATACCCGGTTAGTAATTATAGCCGGATCTGTGACGAAGTTAGACCTGGCTATAAATAGGGTATTTACGGTAATTAGTCAAAAATTGTGGTTGTTTTTTAATTGAGCAGTTTACATTGTATAATTAATTAATTCAAATTAATTGATATTAAGCAATTTTGTACTTTTACACAGTAGCAGCAGAAGATGAGGTCATCGTGGGGACATTGCCGTTGCAGGATGTAAGAATTCAGGACGTATTAATATTTAACTCCTTACGATGAGTCATCTTCCGCCGCCACTAGTTTTGCATATTTACATATGTACATACCTCAAGGGCATTCAAATAGTCCTTAGACGTCAATTTTTCAAAAATGTAAGCCTCGGGTTTTCCGCGATGAGAGTTAATTAGATTGTCCCGCATGGCATCAACTGCTCTCAGGGTGGTGGGGTGTTGCAGTTGGTCAAAAATAGGCTGGTGGCGAGAAGTGAACACATTGTCCAGAATTTTTTCTGCCCAAGTGTTTGCCAATTCTGGGGTGATCTGTAGTGGCGTTAAGGAATTTTAATTAATAAATGTCATTATACACTATTCATGGTATGGCATGATGGAGTTATATTTAAGATCAATCATTCTAAAAGAAACGTATGTCACAAAAGGGGTGTAGCGAAAGGGTGTGGTCGTAGGCAAAATCAAATTATTATTAAATTCGAAAATATAATTAAGTAATGTAGCAAAATAAAATTTTCGCAAATTGTAGGTGTGGTTTGGGTGAAATGAGATTCCGCGTGGAAACTATTGAGTGTTTAATGCTAATTTCGGGTATCCAAACTCAATTAATCATAAGTGTGTCTATTCTTGGTAAATAGTGCCTACATAATTATCTGTAAGTAATCTGTACGTAATCTGTTGTATTATCATACAATCGACCGCTACTTTATTAAGTGCGTTTAATCCTCATTAATTTTTTTCTAAATCCTCAAAACTTCATCGATTCAGCTAAAAATCGCAGAAAATTAAGTAATACTGGACTAAACAGACAGACAAATTGTCAAACCAACTGATACCCTAAATACCGAACAGGTTGGCTAATTATGTATATAATTTGTGTATATTTAAAGTTCCATGCTATAAAATACATACTTACTGGTATCTTGCTTTTCAAGGCATCCCCTCCCGTTGCCTGTACAACAACGTGGGATACTCCTAACCACAAGACAATTACCGCAAACCCAAAAGAGTATAGTCTGTTTAGCCCCATCTTACAATTGTTAGATTAGAAATTTGCCCTCGATGAAGATTCTCTGCAAATTGGAACATATGTAGTAATTTGGTGAGATTACTTAAGCCGAATCGTAAATTTATATAATATCTCACTGATCATGGGAACGAAGTGCGTGCATAATATGCGTATGAATATGCACTGCATATTCATTACCAGTTTACATCATTATTAGGAAACAAGTAGACGACAAACGTTAAAATTGCGAAATAGGTAAAAATGCTAGTTCATAAATTAAAGACAACAAATTAGAGAGTTTATCAAGCGGATTTTGTTAAAATGTGTACAAGGAAAAAAATAGTTTAGAAAATTCTATAGACTTCTGTCTCTACTTTTGTTAATCGGGCACTGATATTAATTTGAACGGTACATTTCCTGTCAAAGACTCGATTTTGCGCTGGAATTTTTTTTCTGAAATCTGCATTTGGGGATTTTACACTAATTTATTCTTTAATATTTAGAATTTTAAAATTTAGAAATATCGAAAAACAGTGCGGACATACTAAATATTTAATAATCAAATTTTGAGGATTAAAGATTTAAAAAATTGGATCAATTTTGCGAATTTACGAGAAAAAGTTCAGAATATTACCTCACATTTCTGCTACGGCATGAACAGTCAAAATTTATAAATCCTATATCGGGGTTTTAGATGTCAATTATTCTCAAAGTATGTATTTGTATTTCTTTTACTACACAATTTTCACAGAGAAGTAATGCCATGCATTTATTTTTTTGCAATCGATAAAGCTGCGAAATTAATTTCTTCTTGCAAGCAGATTTTTAGAATACAACTTTTATTATAATCCGTCAGACTGACTGCAATAATTTGCAAAAATCTGTAGAAATATACAAGCAGCCAAACTCTTGTATTAACATTAAACATGACTGATGATGGAATGGTTGCCAAATAGAGACAAATTTGAGTCGGTAATCTACAGTATGTAATCTTTCTTAACCCAACATAGCTAGAGATAAATATGTAGTTTTTGCTACATAAAGCACAGTACTCATGTTGTTATTTTGCAGCTAAATAGTTGCTCCGTTTTTAGTGTGTATCATAATCCAAGCCTGTGGTTTTTATTGACTTTTTGTTTGTCACCACCTACCGAAGTAAAATATAAATATTACGTATTATACATAATACTTATTTATATTAATGTATATGTGTTTGTTCTATAACTTGCAAGAAGGCGAGAAAGTATCGATTTTGTTAAAGCAAAATTTGTAAAGGCCTTAAGCAAATCGAAATTTTTTATGTCGTTGACACTGCTTCATATCCGCATAAATTATAACAGATATGGTTTCACTACATTAAATTCCACCCTTGTACGCATCAGAAAATAACGTATTATTTGGTTAAAACCAGTAGGACAGAAATTCCTTTGTTACGGTTTATCTTAATTATTCATTAATTGTTTTCACATCAAATACTCACTATGATTCAAAACTTGGATGAATACTAGGCTTAATTTTGATGACGCATTGTATGTAAGAGTTCGCCTCGAATAAGTTTTACATTACATCTATTTAAAAAGCTTGATAAGCAAATACATACATACGTAACTAGTGGCTGAACTAAATTTAAACGTTTGGTGGTCCAGATAATATAAATACGTCAGCATTTCACTCATATCTTGACGACGGCACTAAATTCCGTATAAATTTCCATTCCTACACACAAGCATACTTATTTAGTAAGGAATAATGTCGTGTCTCGACAGGGAATTAATTGTGCTGACCCGAGCAAGCTCTCCTTTGTCATGTTATCTTTAACCAGGAATTTTGCATGTATTAATAAATAACCCATGGTACATACGTAAAACCTACCGGATGCATGTCCTGCAGTTCAAGATAACTTGATCCGTTGTGAAATTCCACTTTGTAAATTATACAGTGGAATGACGCACATAAATTAGATAAGTATGTACCAGTAAGAAATTTATTTTAAGCAATTATTTTTTTAATTATCGCCCACCAGAATTATGTACATAGGTATCTGTTGCGAGCATTTTTATTATTCCCCCTTTAGTGCGGATCGGTGTCATCCTAAATTAATTGTACTTTTCAATTCTTAGATAGTGAAGGAAAAGAAGCTTCCTTAATGCAAGAACATGAGTAAAAGTAGTTTCTGAACAAAAAACTGTTTTTAGCTAACTACCGAGTTCTATCCACAACAAAGGCAACGTGTAGATACATATTTATCAAATTAAAAGGTGGGCAGGACATGTCATCCTGCATCTGAAAGTGGGCCGTACATTTTTGCATATATGTACACTGTTAAAAATCGGGTAGAGTCACATACATAGATACTCCGTGCTGGTATTGATTTGGTAATAATTTCCTACCAGATTGGTAGTAAATTGTTTCTGAGTGGTAAGTCTTTCATTGCCACAACATTACTGACGATAATTCCAGTTAACACTAGAGTCACATGTGTTCTCCAGTCGGTAATGATTAAATACGAGATTTCTAAAGCTGTATCCATAGTCCGTGATTTGTTCATGATTTCGTCATGATTTGATGGTTTATCGCATCCATACTCCATAACTTTCCAAAAATTATTTATTTCCTGATTGGTCGATATTTTAATTGTTATGGTGATTAACATGCTGAAATTATGACCCCGTGAAAGCATCACCAAATCATGAACAAATCACGGACTATGGATACAGCTTAAGAGTGTATTTATGCATACACATAAATACAAATGTACATATTTTACCATCCAAAAATGGGTCGCTGAGATGGCTGACAACGTATGTAATGCAACTTAAAATTGTAATTATGTACCTACTACTGCCATAAATTATGACCACTGCACAAATTAATGTAGCGGACTCAGTTTATTGAATTTTGAAAAAATAACGATATCACCAGAAAGCCCATTAAATTTACTACAAAATATACTAAGCAGTTTTCAAAATTTCCTCCTTTCGAAGCCACAAGAGCCACAAGTCTTGCTATCCAAATCTCACTCGCGGTACGCACTCATACCAAGTATTATGAGTCTCATTTCTAAGCGATAGATTTTTTCTTGGACTCCAAACTTTTATGTGGTGTAGCACATGTATCTAGCTTCAGTTTGAACCACATGTCATATTCCAGAAGGTCGAGGTTCGGCGACAGCGAATTTTATTCTTGATCCGAAATGGAGTCAGAAATTTTGGAATTTTACCCCATTTTTACTATTTTGGGCTTATGAGCAGGACCTGAACTCTCCTTGAATGTCTAGTGGCTATTTGTTTATAAACTGTGGTCCAGTGGTTCTCCCATTCGCTCGATAAATTCAAAAAATATTTTTTAACATAAAATTTCACCCCCAGATGAAGAAAAATCGCCTTATTGACCAAATCGAATTTACGCCTAATAAAATAATCACAGAATCTGGATGGTGGGTCCGATTACTATTTTTAAAAATTTTATAAATAATATGGACTGGTGGGGTGTTGATACGGTCCTCTTCATAATTTTGTATTATCTCAATGGTAAAAGTCTGCTTATTTTTCAAAAATATTTATTTTCATTTTTCAAGCGCGTACCGCATGATCAGCGCCAGGCTTTTGAAGGGTCTGTTTCTACTTGGCGTGAAGTTAGCAAGTGTTTCTCTTCACATCTAAAAGACATAAGTCCAAGGTCGAGTTTACGGGCCTTGGACGTAGTTTTACTTAGCCCGTGCATTTGTAGGGACATTTTTCTTAGGGTCCGGCATGAAGTCGTAAGTGCCTTCCTTTTGACCTTTTTGACCGTTCCCTACAACTCGGTTTTCGGTTATCAACACCGCTAATGTTAGTGGATGATTTTATGGTACGGTCGACCATCTTGCGATTAGTTCCGATTTTTATTGAGCTATTAAAAAATGCCAGATTTTTATGTTTACCAAAATGTTCCTGAAAAATTGTAACACGTCGGTTTGTCCGATCTGTCAATTTAGCACCTTGGGTCACAAAAAATTTCGGAACATGGTTTCTGATAGACGATTACATGGGAAATTCAATAAAAATAGCACAACTGGCTAACGTCACTGCTACTAATGTTTTTAGTGGGCGGAATGCGTGAGACATAATATATGGCAGTAGTAGGTACATATATGCACATTGATCAGGCAGTTTATTCTGGTGAGAACAGAAACTCTCACGTTCAGAAGACGGTCACAGGTTGCAGATTCCAGACGTAATGAAATTGTAATCTATGGAGGAATGGTTAAGTTACGCATTCTCTCGCCAGCAAAATAAATATGTAATATTATTTTCTGACAAAATTTGCACACTTAAAAAAACTTTGAATAAAATTTACTCAAGGGTGAGTAAAATTTGTGATGACACAACTGGTTGTGTAAAATTTATCATATGAAAGTTAGCATTTTTCCAACAGAATTTTCACTCAACCTTTGGTAAATTTTTCCTTCGTAGAGTAAAGTTTACACAAATAATTGTGTCACTGCAGCTTTACTTAGATTGCATGTATTTATTCTCCCGTCAAAATAGCAGGGCCATTGGCTATACGGGTTTTGTGCCGTGTAAGAATTCTTCACGAAATCCACTATGGTTATTATGCATTTTTAACAGAATTATTCAAATTTGACAGCAATTTTATTTGCATTTAATATACAATATAAACATTTAATATATAAGTTAAGTAAAAGTATCACACCAAAATATTTTAATCATGTCGTGGCATTCTGCATTCCTGTATTTTCCACATTATCTTTTGCAGAATAATACTTTTTGCGAAAATTTTCAATTGCATAGAAACCCATGATTTTCATTTGTTAATTTATATGCTTTAGAGATTTGCCTGAAGGATTAATGGTTCGTGACTTTATAAAAAATTTTTTCCCATGTCTAACATTTTTGTCGTTGCTATTACTTTCATTTAAACGTCTCATTTTCCGCTAGATTCCATTTCCCTACTTTCTCGTACTTGCATTTGGACCAACGGAACGTTTCATTAAACACCAATAAACTATATTTATCTTTTTGTTCCAAGTTACTGTTTTTTCTCGCAAAATTATGTAATCCTTTCAATTTTTCCCCTAGCAGTCTTTAAATTTTCTGGTTCAGGGATTACTTATTTTTCCCGTAAAACATATTTGTGACTGTCAATGCCCGTGAAGAAGCACCTCAAATATGAGCGACTTTTGAGGGTCGTAATCAGTGAGTTCGAGAGGAATTTGAGCCGTTGTTCAGATATATTTGGTGGTCAACTCCCCATTACAAAATGACATTAAAATGGTCAGATACAAAGGATGGTTTTTTAGCGGACACTTCCTTTGGTTGCCATTAATCCTGACTAATTTGCGAATAAACTGGGACAAAGAAAACTGGCAGTAATAACCACCAAGTTCAGGGATCCCTTATATTTTCCGTAAAAAATATTTGTGACTGTCAACGCCCGTGTAAAAGCACCTCAAATATGAGCGATTTTTGAGGGTCGTGATCAGTGACTCCGAGAGGAATTTGAGTCGTTGGTCTGGTATATATGGTGGTCAACTCCCCATTACAAAATGACATTAAAATGGTCAGATACAAACGTTGGTTTTTAAGCAGACTATGCTTTAGCTTGCCATTAACCCGTGCTAATATGCCAACAAACTAGGACAAACAAAACTGGAAGTAAAACCCATCCAGTTCAGAGATCCCTTATTAGCTCACCCTGCGTAGCATGAGAGCTATTGAATTCCTCTTGTCCGTCTGTCTGTCTGTGTGTTAACGACCTTTTTGCATCAATTTATGCTAATTAAATAGGACCATGTCCGTTTTTTGGGCAATTAGTAGCACCATTATTGTGAAACAAACAGTACCGCAAAATGGTGCGAAATAATTGGTGGAATCGATGTATTCCGCACCAATGGTTAAGATTATCTGAAAGTCCTTGTTAGTCTTGGCAGACA